TAATATGTTAAAGCTATTTACATCCCAATCAGAATCTATCGATCCAAAGCAGCCCTCAATTCCCAGATATGGTTTTTATGTATGAGGCACAATTTGATGTAGACGTTGCGGACAGCAGCCTAAACACAATCATCTGTGCATACAGTCCCCTGGCCAGCCTTCCCGTGTTGTCACTATTTGACTGCCAAGGTTCACTGCCTTGACCACAGCTTTTCACAATCTGAGACTGAATTTATTTTCAACATAATAAGCATGCAATCTCTCTCTGGCCCCAGCCTGACACTCCTCCATGCCTCTTCCTCACGGAAAGGCCCGCCCTCATCTGACCTACTCCCTGACAGAAGATCCACTCAGCTCAGCCTTCCATCACCAACACTTGGCAAAAGTGGGCTTGGTGAACATCCATCAGCTCTCAGCCCCACAGCTCCGGGGATGGATGAGGGGGTGGACAAGTGAGAACCAATTTCCTGGGGTCTTGGAAAAGAGCCATCAGGCGAGAGATGGAAAATAATTTCAAGTTTTTTCTGTCCCTGACTACGGGAGTGTGCATGTGTTCTGACCATCTCTATTCATGCCACCTTATCATTTAGATACAAGAATGCTAAGTCCTGGTTTCTAGTCCCTCCTGCACTCTGGAAGAATACGTTCCAATACCCGGTTCCAGTACCTCGTCCTTATGTCCCCACCTCCAAGGAACCCTAATTTGAAACCTGCAGAATGTTAAAGTTAGGACTGAGGGAGTAGTAGCTCAGTAGCAGAGTTACTTGCCCAGAACACATGGGCTCTGGGTTCAGTTTCCTGCGTTGGGAAGGGAGGGACAGAGGGAGGAAAGGGGAGGAGGGAAAGTTAAAAGACTGTTGTGTTACTAAGTTGTTGCCCAGTGCCTGGCACTACTTCTATTTCCTAATTAATCAAGTCCCATTGTGAGCCTTTCTTTATACTTTTGATCAAGCTAGTGTAATCGACTATAATCTGCTTTGTTATATATGATACCAGAAGGGCAAGTTGGAGAGTCTTTGGAAAATTAACAATACTCCAGAAAAAAAATTAATTTTATCCATAAATTTATTTTAGTTCACATGGCTTTATTGGGACTTGCATCAAATTCTCACTATTAAGCTATTATCTTGGTTGTATTTTTGTTGTAGTTTTTTGTTTGCTTAGTTTTTTTATGGTCTAGGCTTTGATTTTTGAAAGACAGAGCTGGTTTTCATTCCCCAAAGGAATGGCAGTATGCTACTGCCTCCACCTCCGTGTGACATTCCAACTCAGGAACATATGGGAAAGCAATGGAAACTGTCATTTTCAAAATTATAAGAGGAAAGGACAGTTTTTAAAATCCACTTTACATTAAAAAATCATTGTTTGTTTGATAATCTCCAGATATTGCTAAATGTTTGCTGTTAGATCTTTACTATCTGAAAAAAACAAAAACTTGTACCATATTTTCTTAAGGCTGGATGAATTTCAACTGGCTGTTAATGACTATCACAGATTTTATGGTCTGTAGAAGAAACCAGGAGTCCCATGAAGGAGCTGACCACGTCTCTGTTCATATCTCCCTGGATTAAGAGCATCCACTGGGATTTTTCATTGAGAACTTTGACTTTGATTTCAACAGTGGTAGTTAATGTTCAGTAGTTAGCTAGTTAATCTTAAAAGTGGCAGACTGTGAATAATAACAAAAACTCTTATATGTCTTTTTAAATTGTGTATGTACATCTACAACACAGCCTCTACACCTAAGCCTCAGGGAACATTGTGGAAGAAGGGACAGAAAGCTTGTAAGAGCCAGAGAAACAAGACGCCCACTGCTAGGTGATGCATTCTAGACATGATAGAGATGCTGCGCCCATGAGATCGCAACAATATGGCAGCCTGCAAAGATCTGTATAATGATAAAACCAGTTGGCATGCCAGTGTGGATGGGGGAAACTTCACGGGGTCCCACCTCTAGATGAAGAGTTACAGGCAATCAGAGGTTACTGAGAGAGGGAGAGTCAGTTTTCTCCATGGACAACAAGCTCCCTCATAGATTATCTAATCCCAAGTGGTCAGCCCTAAATACATGTACACACGAGCACCACTAAATAGACTTAGTGTATATTATATGTGTGTGTATTCATAAATGTACATATGTATATTTAACAATAATAATGAAGAGGACAGGAAATTGAGGAGTGAAAGAGACATGGGAGGAGTTGGAGGAGGGAAGGGGAGGGGTGGAAATTAGGCAGATGCAATACTCATGTATGAAACTCTCAAAAAAATTTTAATATAATTTTACCTTGTTTTTATCCTTATTACAATTTTTGGTTCTTATTTTAAAAATAAATTTATGTCCATGTATCATCCCATTTAATTCCCATAAAACCACCAAAAGGTAGGTACTATTGCTCATAGATGAAAAAAATCTTAGATGCAAAATAAATTAACCTGACATCACACAATCACTACCTGCAAGAGCCAGATTCACATCCAGGGAGCTCCAAAGTTTTAAATACATGCATTAGTGCCAGAATGAATTACTACAGCCTCCCTCACAAAGGATCATCCTTCCCCATGTGGCACAGTGGGTTTTCATGTGAGAAGACAGATAGGAATGGCTGTGGATGGGAAAGGACGCAAAAAAAAGCTGAAGTGACATGTCTAAAATTGCTCAGCAAGGCAAGCCAGGAAAGATCCCTTAGTATCACAAGTCTTGCTATTGTCCTTTTTGTTTCCAACCAATCCAAAACACCCTCTTCTAGTGGCAATTTATAGGCTCTTAAGAACAATGGACCACCTGGAAATAAAGTCAATGGAACCAGGAACTCAGAGGCACAGTCCCATGCTTAACAGGTTAATTGGCCAAACTTTCTTTCTTTCACCTCTTCACTGCTTCTAGTAAAGGCTGGAGGAATAATGAATGGGTGAAGCAAGGATGAAGAGGCTTAACAGCAACCCCATAAAGAGTCCTTTGCCAACTCCTCCCAAGTCCTCACTGCCTGGGGCAAGTAAGGAATTCCAGCCCTGGCTGAGGCTGAAGGGAGAGACGCGGATGGCTCACTAATTTTAGCCAACACCCTCTCCCTGGCTGCCCCACGCGTGTTAAAAGTCTTAGCCTAGAGCACCGTGCTGTATTACTACAGGCTGGAAATCTGAGGCTAAAGTACAAGGCCCTGGGTGAGTGGACTTCTCAACCCACTAAAGTAAGCAAGCTGTTTGTGCTGGGCAGTTTGGGGAAGAAATTCTGTCCCAGGTTCCCTGGGGCTCTTCTTGGGCCCAAATCCATGACACTGGCTTCAATCACCCTATCACAGTCTCCTGCATCAGAATTAAAGTTTGCCAAATACTACATTGCTGAGAATAGAGAACTCATCTCATCCTCAGAAATGACCCCATGATTCATCTTTGACATTTCAGAATAATATTCAAAGATTTCCATTAAGACACAGAATCAGAGGCGAAAGGGGAGAGCAATCAATTCATTATGTCTTATCTTCTGCCTGTCTCTATCTGAGGGTGGTCTGTTTTCAGAAAACAAATGGAACAACAATAATTATTTGTTTGAAGGCGGTATCCAAACCTTAAATTTAAAAACATGATTTATCATCATGGAGGATAATGATCTGTCCACCTGTAGATTTATAGAGACTTCTGCATAGACTGACAAGTGGAGGAGTTGGGGTTTTTTTTTTTTTTTTAGTTCTGTTTGTCTTACGTTGC